TCAGTAAGAGTGTCCATGATTGAGTCTTTGAATGAAGATGGAGATAAATCTGTCCAGTTTGAGTGTTTTTTGCAGCTCGTTCCAGTCGCTAGCTGCAGCGGACTGAAAAGAGGAGCGACCCAGGGATATGTGTGCTTTGGGGACCTTTAACAGAATGTGACTGGCAGAACGGGTGTTGTATGTGGCGGATGAGGGCTGCAGTAGGTATCTCAGATAGGGGGGAGTGAGGCTTAAGAGGGTTTTATAAATAAGCATCAACCAGTGGGTCTTGCAACGGGTATACAGAGATGGCCAGTTTACAGAGGAGTATAGAGTGCAGTGATGTGTCCTATAAGGAGCATTGGTGGCAAATCTGATGGCCGAATGGTAAAGAACATCTAGCCTGCAGCTTTGATATGTGCTGAGAGAAGGACAGTGTACCATCTAGCCATACTCCCAGGTACTTGTATGAGGTGACTACCTCAAGCTCTAAACCCTCAGAGGTAGTAATCACACCGGTGGGGAGAGGGGCATTCTTCTTACCAAACCACATTACCTTTGTTTTGGAGGTGTTCAGAACAAGGTTAAGGGCAGAGAAAGCTTGTTTGACACTAAGAAAGCTTTGTTGTAGAGCGTTTAACACAAAATCAGGGAAGGGGCCAGCTGAGTATAAGACTGTATCATCTGCATATAAATGGATGAGAGAGCTTCCTACTGTCTGAACTATGTTGTTGATGTAAATTGAGAAGAGTGTGGGGCCTAGGATCGAGCCTTGGGGTACTCCCTTGGTGACAGCCAGTGGCTGAAACAGCAGATGTTCTGACTTTATACACTGCACTCTTTGAGAAAGGTACGGTAGTTAGCAAACCAGGCCAAAGACCCCTCAGAGATACCAATACTCTTTAGCTGGCCCACAAGAATGGAATGGTCTACCTTATCAAAAGCTTTGGCCAAGTCATTTAGGTCCTTTAAGGTTGCAGTGACACATCCATAGCCTGAGCAGAAACCAGATTGCATACCAGAGAGAATACTATAGACATCAAGAAAACCAGTCAGTTGATTATTGACAAGTTTTTCCAACACTTTTGATAAACAGGGTAAAATAGAAGAAGAAGAGGAAGAAGAGAAGAAGAAGAAGAAGAAGAAGAAGAAGAAGAAGAAGAAGAAGAAGAAGAAGAAGAAGAAGAAGAAGGTGATTGCAGCAGAAATACTTTTGAGGAGATGGGAATCTCCATTGGAAACATATTTCCGCCTGTTGTGTGTATGTTGCCCATACATTGTCAATGGGACGCGCGGTGCATTCTGGGTGATTCTGGGATGGGGAGATCACTCCATCAAGGCGTAAATGGGAGTCAATTGGGCGTTAGCTAAAAAAAAAAAAACATTACCATGAATTACGTGAACAATAAGTACAACATTACAAATCTTTTCAGAGAAATGAGATAATGAAGTTGTTCTCTGCAATATCATACAGCTTTGAAATCGTGACATTGCGTTCTTTCGAGGAAAATAGGCAAGTTTCTCGACTCATACCCTGTCTTTTAGAAGGGATTGCGTGACGATTAGTTTAGCAACCGTGTGACGCAGCATGACAATGTGAACGTGATTGGTCGACAGTCTGCTGGGCGGAGCGTTAGATGTTTATTCATTCGTTTCCGGCTGGGATTCTTATCTCCTCCTTTTCTAATATCAATTCAAGGGGCTTTATTGGCATGGGAAACATATGTTTACGTTTACATTTTAGTCATTTAGCAGACGCTCTTACATTGCCAAAGCAATTGAAATGGATGAACAAAAGTGAAATAAACAATCAAAAGTGAACAGCAAATATTACACTCACACAATTAAATGACTAAAATGTAAATGTCTATATACAGTGTTGTAATGATGTGCAATATCTCTGATTGCATTGTTGTAACAATATCTCTGATTGCAGTTGGAGAGCAGTGACTTGACCGGCACAGCTGATCGGGCCATAACAGGCACTGAGGCAGACAGGCAGTCAGCTCGTTCGCCTGGGATGTTTACCAAGACAAAGATACACAAATACAGAGGTAAAGGTAACCAAAATGCATAACTAATAGTCATTAATGCCGTTTTGCTACCGCGTGAGGTTACATTTGCATAGGACGAGTGGGAACATGGTTCACGTTCGCTATTTTACCTGGTCTGTTGTTGCAGTGGGGTAACGTTAGCTGGCGATTCTGTGATCGTTTATCAGGCCTTTCTGGTCCAACATGACATTTGAATTGGACTTGTTTAGGTATACGGGTAGGACGGGGTAGTTTATAATAAATTAAATTGATAGAATAGGCACAGAGTTTCTAAACCCAGAGACGCAACATCGCGAGACTTCCTGGAACGCTTGCGAAGTAGACCAAGCAGACCAGGCCGGGGTTTGGGGTTTGAGAAATCAATGAGAGAAGTAAAAACTTCTATCTTAACTGTTCATTTTCTCGAAATCTAAAGGCACAACCTAGATTGGAGACAATGTCTCCAACCTCGTGAAAGTGACAAACTGACACGTTTTCATTTTCGTCCAAAAACAATTTTATATCGAAGGGGTACCTTTGATTTGACAATGTGCACATGCGCAGTTCGGAGTGAGACGACCGTTAGACCCGATGATGTATTTCTGCGCATGGGATTAGCCAGCCAACGTCGCCGCGACATCGCCTACAAGCGGATCGGGGATTTCTATTGGAGAAGCAGTTTCTCCCTATCTTCATACTGTACTGTCTTTGGAATAGGTGATTACTCAATGGGCTTGCACCGAGGTAAAATTCGTTTTATATTGGATATTAGGTGGGTATTCGGTTTTCTCATCAATATCTATTGAACCAAGCATGCCATGGCTATGAAGATGGTATATTCTGAATCAGGGGTGGATGGAGAAAAATCCACACCTTTTTATTTACTTTTATTATTATTTTAAAATAATACGATTTTGGATTTCAATCTTCAATAGCTCTTACACAAAGCGTGCCATGACCATGATAATTATATATTCTGAGTCAGGAGGATGGACAAAAATCCACGGCTTTTTATTGTTACAATTTAGAAGGAAAAATGTTTGTCCATCCTTCCCCGAATTCATAATATATAGTTGTAATAGTCATGGCACGCTTTGTGTAAGAGCTATTGAAGATTGAAAGCAAATAAAAATAAAATACAGGTAGCTTAGTGGTTAAGAGCGTTGTGCCAGTAACCGAAAGGTCGCTGATTCTAATCCCCGAGCCGACTAGGTGAAAAATCTGTCGATGTGCCCTTGAGCAAGGCACTTAACCCTAATTGCTCCTGTAAGTCGCTCTGGATAAGAGCGTCTGCTAAATGACTAAAAGGTAAATGTAAATTTTAACAACAACAATAAACAGTGGTGGATTTTTGTTCATCCTCCCATGACTCAGAATATATCATTTGTATTGTCATGGCACGCTTTGTGTAAGAGCTGTTGAAGATTGAAAGCAAAATATATATATATATAATAATTATGATATTTCAACAAACAAAAGAAGACATGGTAAGGGTAGGTAACAACACATCAGCCTCGCTGATCCTCAACATGGGGGCCCCTCAGGGGTGCGTGCTCAGTCCCGTCCTGTACTCCCTGTTCACCCATGACTGGATGGCCAGGCACGACTCCAACACCATCATTAAGTTTGCAGACGACACAACAGTGGTAGGCCTGATCACCGACAACGATGAGACAGCCTATAGGGAGGAGGTCAGAGACCTGGCCGTGTGGTGCCAGGATAACAACCTCTCCCTCAACGTGATCAAGACAAAGGAGATGATTGTGGACTACAGGGAAAAAAAGAGGACTGAGCACGCCCCCATTCTCATCGACGGGGCTGTAGTGGAACAGGTTGAGAGCTTCAAGTTCCTTGGTGTCCACATCACCAACAAACTATCATGGTCCAAACACACCAAGACAGTCGTGAAGAGGGCACAACAAAGCCTATTCCACCTCAGGAGACTGAAAATATTTGGCATGGGTCCTCAGATCCTCAAAAAGTTATACAGCTGCACCATCGAGAGCATCCTGACTGGTTGCATCACCGCCTGGTATGGCAACTGCTCCGTCTCCGACCCTAAGGCACTACAGAGGGTAGTGCGTACGGCCCAGTACATCACTGGGGCCAAGCTTCCTACCCTTTTCAGGACCTATATACCAGGCGATGTCAGAGGAAGGCCCTAAAAATTGTCAAAGACTCCAGCCACCCTAGTCATAGACTGTTCTCTCTGCTACCGCATGGCAAGCGGTACCGGAGTGCCAAGTCTAGGACCAAAAGGCTTCTTAACAGCTTCTACCCCCAAGCCATAAGACTCCTGAACAGCTAACCATTTCACTGTAAGGTCTACACCTGTTGTATTCGGCGCATGTGGCAAATAACATTTTATTTTATTTTATTTTATTTTTGTGCATTCTCCCCTGATTCAGAATATATCATAGTCATGGCAAGCTTTGTGTAAGAGCTATTTCAGATTGAAATCCGTAATCTTATTATAAAAAAATAATTTAAAAAAAGTGTGGAATTTTCTCCATCCACCCAATTCAGAATATACTATCTTCATAGTCATTGCATGCTTTGACGAGAGAACCGAATATCCAATATTAAACTAGTTTTACCTCGGTACTTCACGGATGATGCAAAGTATGCGACATAGGGTGTGATGATTATGATGCTAGGTCTGCGCACTGAATTCGCTGTGTAGGACCTTGCGGGGCCTCATCTTTTGACTGTGTGAACAATGTATGTATAGGAATTGACATAGTTCTGCTACTGGTACGAGACCCCTCGCATGAAGTAAGCTTCTATCTCTGGGCACTACTTGCAACTGCAGCTGCTGCAAGAGCGGCCGTTTGCTTTCCGGGCCGGCGACGTCATTCATGGCTAACAACGGTAGGATAAATGTAGACAGATGAATGTAGCCAATGTAATACTATTTGGAAACTTTTCTGTGTCATAATTTGGGGATTTTAAATTGTAACCAATCACGAACGCACCCGTAGAGGACGTAGGAGAGTCCGCAGTTCTCCACGGGAAGAACAATATCCTGCTACCCAGCACTTGTCTTGCTCTCTAGCTAGCATCTGTCACTCCTTGTATTTGGTTACACAACCATCTCCTATGCAAAACAGTAACACGTGTCTCGGCGTGGTGTAAAAAAGCCTTGTTTACCTCAGCAAAACAACACGGAAAACTATGGATATAGAATCGACAGTCTCAAGTAGCTAGCTAGGTAAGGTTAGATCTATTTTGTGATACGATTATTAGGATGAGAGACATTTTATACAGCTGAAAACGGTTAGCTAGCTCCGACCGTATCGAAAAGGTTACGCAATCGGGACAGTGTGTGCAGACGAATTGATGTTATTGCTTTACGAAGTCAAGATGTGTTTGTCTTACAGAAAAGAGGATGAAAAGAACATGATTAGCACCGATGGCCTCTCTAAATGCGAGGCGACCCGGCGCGAGACGGGGAAAAGGCCACTGGGGGAGATGCTGCGCCTTCTGTCCGCTGTCATTGTCTGGCTTGTGACGGGGACGACGATCTCCAGTCTTAACAAATGGATATTTGCCGTGTACAACTTCAGGTACCCCTTACTGCTATCGGCCCTGCACATGTTGACAGCAATAGTGGTGGACTTTTGGCTTATTAAACTGCGAATGCTCCAGCACAAAGGCGGTGTTGACAAGCATAAGGACCTTACCAACAGCGCCAAATGGAAGGTGTTTCTATTGAGCTTGACATTTTGTGCCAGCATCGCGTTTGGCAACGTGGGTTTGAACTACGTCCAGCTGTCATTTGCCCAAATGATCTACACCACCACGCCAATCTTCACCCTGGCCATTTCCACCCTGATCTTGGGCAAGCAACATCACATCCTCAAATACACGGCCATGATGCCCATCTGTCTGGGAGCCTCGTTCAGCATTATGGGCGAGGTCCAGTACGACCAGACAGGTTGCTTCTTCGTATTCGCTGCGACAATGTTGAGAGGTGTCAAAACCATCCAGCAAAGTGAGTAAAGTCCCAGCTGATACCTTTTATAACTCATTTATGATTGTTCTTATGTTGCATTTCTGATGGGTGTTGACATATATTTGTCATCACTTTTTAACATTTTAACTGTATAACTGTGGTAGGCCTAAGCTATTAATGTATGGATGTTATGTTGGAATAAAACAGAATGGCCCTGTGTACTTCAATACTTTCCCTTCAAGAGAGTGGAAAATATGGCCCATAAACGAAATTCTCTGACATCAGTGTATATTTGGTGTTCCCTCCAATCCCATGGTCATATTAAACTTCCCACACCGCAGTCAGGGTTGGAACATTTTCCTGATGCTCTGAGTCACTCCTCAAGTGACACACCCAGTCTAGCTAGAGGTGGTATGTTGCCTGTTGCTAAGGAAACTTTCAAAACTACTGACAGAGTTTACCCATGGAAAATGTATCAAAAAGGACTAATCCCTGCCTGGTAAACAGGTTGGAGCCAATGTTCCCTCTAATTTGTTTCATCACTGAGCAAATTTCAGGTCTGATGAGTGCAAACTTGAACGTTGTGAAAATTCTGTCCAACTTCCGGCTCGTGTTTACTGTGAACACTGAGGCTGTACCCACTTTAAGTTAGTTTTAACGGTGGTCAAGTAGGCTACTGTGGCTATTTGATCATAATGTAGGCCTATCAGTGGCTTACCATAAAAAACTATGGAGAAAATGCATCCCATAACATTTTAACATGGAATTAGCTGTTCTATCGTTCAGCCTACAGTAGCAGCCAATGTGTGGTGTTCAATGTAGCCCTACATTCCATGAGAGTTTTTGAAAAAAACATGCAGGGCTTGACATTTAAACTGTTTATCCGCTTGTCCATCAGACAAGGAGGTGACTGAAAATGTTGTTGTGTTGTTTGATGTAAGAAACCACTTTACAAAATAAAATGCATAATTATTCCCATAGGCTACTTAGCTTATTCAAGCCTGTCTCAAAATACAACACTGCCCCTTTAAGAGAAAAAAAAAAAAAGAAGCTCTTTACCTGACTGGCTTTTCAAAGATGTCTAGAAATGCACAGTTTTGTGCTCTTGTAGGAAGCAATCACTCTCCCATTGCTGACTACAAATGATCTATAACTGGGCTAATAACTCACTAACTAGCAAAGGATATGAACAAATGTGCACACGTCGCGCTACATGTAGCTCTCGCATTGATCTCAAAACAAGAGCACCTATTCACGACTGCTCATGCTGTAAAAACAGTCCAGTTCAAAGTTAATGGCACAGATCTATTTACGGCTATGGTCTGTTTGCATATAGGCCTACTACAGCTCTGATTGGTTATGGCGCACCGGTCTGTGTAGAGTACAGGCCTGAGTCCTGTCTATCAATGCAATAGAATCCTACTGTGTTCTGCCTACAACAAAATCTCTTGCATGGTTAGTTTTGCATACTAAGTCTTGCATAGTTTGTTTTGTTTCGGTATGTTGCATTGAAAGTGGCTAATATTGCATTGATTCGATCACAATTCCCACAGTAAAGGGAAACGTTGATAGTGTTAACTAACGGGGAAAACTCTAGAAAGTTGAGTGAAGTTCAATCTTGTGCTTCTCTGCGAACGCTTATATTTATTCTGTGCGCAGTCCCGGGGGGAGCTGCGCACGCCCTAGCAGGCGCCCAACTTAGATGGAACAATGGTTGGAGCACTCAAAAAAACACGCAGAGAGCTCCAACCTGTTTACCATAAAATAGTCCTATCACTACAGTACATACTGTCAAGCGCAGAGGCGTACCTGAACTCTTTAAAAAAATAATAATAATAATTCCATCCACTTATGAATACCAAACGTAGGTAAGGAATCATGGAGGAGTTCTGTTTCCCCTAGGAATTGATGTCAGCTGGGGTTTGTTATGTTGGCTTAAGTGGTGTCCTAGTTACAATCATCTGGTCAATGTCCTAGCTATGTTCAGAGAAGGAACAATGTGTAATTTGAATCCTGGTTCGGTATTTGACTAGTATGAACTTGTTCATATATTTGCTGTAGACCTACTGGTTTTGTCAGTGTACAGCGTGTACTGTACAGCGCTGTAATGATAATGAGCATGCTAGTCTCATGGTGTGAAATCCACTCCGAGTTAACAAACCTTTGACATTTCCATGTTCTGAATTTCCTCCTCATCACTCAGAACCACCTTCCTGAATTGCCCATGTAGTTGGATGGTGTCATTTTGTTTGAGCATGCTCGTAAGGGGCTCACTTGTTTACGTTGTATGACACATATCGGTGGTGCACCTGTCTCTTATTTTGCTACAGGTTGCTCACTCCCTAGGGATCCATGCAATTATCTGACGTGTTACGCAAAAATAACACATCACAATGGCATGAATGTGGAACTACTAGTGCTGAGCGATTACTGCTTTTTGAGGTCTGGTCCCGGTTATTCAAAAATAATCACGGTTTTTGGTTTTGATAGTTATTTTTAAACATTAAATGCATTATGAAATAATCACATCAAAGTTATTTTAGACCTTTTTAATGGAAATTCCAAAGCCAAAAATAGTGAACATACAACTGCCAAAACATTGAAAACATTCAATTGTCTCTGTCAGGTCCACCTTGGTAGACAGCAAAATAACATTTTGAAATTAATATGAAAGAATACAATATTTCAGTTGTGTATACTGCTTTGTTTTTATTTGATGACTTTATTATTTTTCATTCCTTAAAGTCATCATCTCATCTCTGCTCAGGCAGTAGCAGCCAGCCAGCCAGACAACCATCTAATGTTATCTCTGTGCTCCCCATACTGTGCTGTCTTTGAGCTAGTAGCTGTATTCTGCAGTTGTCTGATGAAATCATTTTACTAGTTCTTCAAAGTACATAAGACATATTTTCAAGACCGCTTATTACCAACTACTAAAACTATCCACCGGGTAGAGCTACCTCACTAACTGTCTCTATCCCTCTCATCTTGTGTTGTGCACATTCTTCACTCATGCTGTATCTGTGTAGGCTATCCGTCTCTGTCCGAGCCAGGAAGAACAGGTGCAATGGATAATGGTCATTGTAGTTAATTACCATGTTTCTGCGCTGAACTAGGTTTAATATTTGCTTAATGAAAACTACAGGTCCCTTCAGCCCAGCGTCCCACATAGTTCTTCACTTAATGGCTGCGTTTGAGAGCATCAAAACCGTGATTTATCATGGGTAAATTCTGACGGACTGACTGATCTACAAATAATATATAAAAAATAAAAATAATTGTAGAGTGCATTTCCCACTCTCAATGTGCATAAGGAGAAAAACAAAAACAGCAACAATACATAAAGTAGAAAAAACTCACAATAGACCAAAACATAACCTACTAATGCAACATATAGACTTTAAGCAGATTAAGCGATCAAACATTAAAAGCTAGCTGGAATAGGTCAATCTTTAGTTGTTTTTTAAACGAGGAAATTGAAGCTGCCTCCTTGACATGCACAGGTAGAGTATTCCTGCCAATAGGCCCTGGCAGCCACGCCGCACAGGTTTGTGGCTGGTGTGACCAGGCTGTTTGAGTCTGACGATCGTGCTGGGGAGTACTTCTCAAGAAGTTGGCATATTTATATTGGTGCATTACCCTGGAGAGCCTTAAAGGTAAGCAGCAGAATCTTAAATTTGATCCTATTTTGAACAGGAAGCCAATGGAAGTTGAATAAAACAGGAGTAATGTGAAGTATGTGAGAGCATCCTGGCAGCTACATTCTGGATCATCTGGAGTTGAGACAGGAGCCTTACTGGGATTCCTATCAGCAGTGCATTACAGTAGTTAAGTCGAGATGTTACCAGGGTATGCACAAGCTTCTACGCATCCGCAGTGGACAAGAACGACCTGATTCGAGCGATGTTACTCAGGTGGATAAATGACACTTTCTTGATGTTGTGGATGTGTGCTTCAAATGAGAGGCTAGAGTAAAGAATGACACCAAGGTTTCTGGCTGTGACGGTGTCATCATCCAGAGAAAGAGAGAAAGGATTAATCTTACTCTGTGCACTCTTAGAGCCAAGTACAAGCTCTGTTTTGCAGCAATTAAGTCGTAAGGAAGTTCAAATGCATCCATCTCTTGATTGCATCTAGACCACAGGAGGCTGCTGAGGGGAGGACGGCTCATAATAATTGCTGGAATGGAGTGAGTGGAATGGTATCAACCACATGGAAACCGTGTTTTTGATGTATTTTGATACCATTCCATTGATACTGTTTCAGCCATTACTATGAGCCCGTCCTCCCCAATGAAAGTGCCACCAGCCGCCTGTGATCTAGACAGTCTGTCAGTTTGGTTGTAACAGTCTGAGTCCCCTTTTGTCCTCACATATATTTGAGTGTCATCAGCATAACAATGAAAGTTCAGTCCAGATCTTTGTATTAGTATACCAAATGGCAGCATGTATATAGAAAACAGGAGTGGCCCCAGAACAGAGCCCTGTGGGACCCCTTGAGTGACTGTGGCAGGGTTGGATAATTGCCACGTGTCACAAAGTCTTGTCTGTCAGTCAGATATAATCGAAACCACTAGAATGCTGTGTCAGAGAATCCAAGCAAGTTCGTTAGTCTGCTGATGAGAATCTCATGATTCACTTTGTTGAAGGCTGCTGTCATGCCCATAAATAACTATTGAATAGTTATTTATGATGCAATGTGATTTGTAGATTAACCAGTCTCGCCTTTCAAGTCGGCTGCAATGTTGAACGGGCCCAATTTGTCTTGTGAATTATTTGATTTCTCTCTTGAGAAACCGCACGTTGAGCTCTCCAAAAACTACAGTGCTGTACTATATGATTGTTTAAATTGTTTTATTTCTGTCTATCCTCTCTTATCTTCGTATTTAATCTCAGCACCCAGAACCAAATCTTGTGTTTGCGCTATAATGTTTAATTTGTCAGGAGACTACTTTGTATTTGACCACTACGTGTGAAGCCTACTTTTGTGTGTGTTCTGTTTCTCTCTATGTAGGTTATATTTAAATGGTTTTAAAAAAATGTTTGTGTCTCAGGTATCTTGCTCCAGGAGGAGAAGATCAACTCTGTGTTCCTGCTCTACCTGATGTCCATCCCCAGTTTCTGCATCCTGGCCGTAGCTGCTCTTGCCCTGGAGAACTGGGCCGTGCTGGAGTCTCCAATGCACTATGACCACAACCTGTGGCTCTTCATCCTGCTCAGCTGCCTGGGCTCAGTCATGTACAACCTGGCCAGCTGCTGCGTCATCACCCTCACCTCTGCCGTCACCCTGCACATCCTAGGCAACCTGAGCGTGGTGGGCAACCTGCTGCTCTCCCAGCTGCTGTTCGGAAACGAGATGTCAGCGCTCAGCTGCGTCGGCGTGGCGCTCACGCTCTCCGGCGTGCTCATCTACCAGAACTCTGAATTTATCTCCGACTACATGGACGCACGGCGAGCCAAAGCCAGGGAGCTCAGCCGAGGGAGTGAGGAGGACATCGCTGGCCAATCACAACCGCCCCCCCAAGACCAGCAGGAGAGGATAGATGCCGATGGCAAGCGAGAGGACAAGAGAGACTGAAAGAGAAGAAGAGAGGGGTGAATAGGAGTTGGACTGTTTACAGCAACCCTGTCCTTCGGGTTAGTTAAGTCAGGTGGTTCTGTGGAGAGGATCAGGAGATGGGCTTCGACCTCATGAGGTCATAGTTGATGATGATGACATGAGTGACAGAACTTGTTTGGTTGGGTCGTTTTTACCTCTTCACTGTGCCAATGTATTTATTTCTGCCATGGTCTCATGGAACGAGAAGTCAGTCTAGGCCAGCTGACAAAAAAATCTGATGCCTTTACGAAAGTGACAGTTGAGTTTTTACTGTTCTAATACCCATACATGCACACATACTGGTATATGCATGCATGAGCACACAAACAATGTGATATATCTAATGAGGTGTCACTCGCACTACTCCACTGTGAAAATGTTCAACATGAGTGAGTGCTCAATGGGATGTTGGGAGGGAAGGACTAGGAACACTCCTCATATGGATGGGCAAAAAAAAAAAAACCTTCCCCTGGTCTTGTATAGGTGGGAAAGAGGTTTCCTGGCAGCTTTTTATGTGGGGGATCTTAAAATGGGGGGGGGGGTCGTATTTGTTATAGTGCAATAGCTTTTGTCTAGATGACGTTTACAATGGCGGAGACATACAAGCTAACAGGGTTGGCATATCATTTCTGTTGGCTGTTTGTAGGCATGGAGGTCTGTGAGCCACACTGTTAATCTACTGCATAGTGAAGCAAAGATCTGAGGGGAGGCACTTTGTCCTGCTCAGTGTCCTCTTATTGAATTTCCTCTTAATAAAAGGAACCTATTATTCCGTTTAGTAACCTGTACAGCAGTTCTCACTGCAGCAAACCTCTATTATTAGGCCCATCCTCTCTAAGGAGTCTCACTCATCTTTAGTACAGTCCTTTTCTTCTGGGAGAGATCATAAAAATGATTTCATGATCCTCCTTACCGCCACTCCAGGACCGAACAGAAATGTCTACCCTGCCAGGTCTCATGTCTCCACTCAGATGACCTCTGCTGGACACTGTTATTGTAACTCCCATTTTAATACATTTTAATATTTATTAATAAATTTTTGTTTTATTGTTTGTTTGTTTTTTCCCCTTTTTGAATTGGGTAAGTAACATTATTTGATGTCCCGTTTTGTGGTTCTTAGTAAGGACAAAGAGAACATTTTGTTTTTGTTTTTCTATCTACATAAAAACAAATGATGTAATTGAAGTTTGGAAGCTCTTACTTTATCTTGTCTATAGCAGGTTTTCCCAAAGTAGGTCCTGGGGCCCCCCCTGGGTGCACGTTTTGGTTTTTGCCCTAGCACTACACAGCTGATTCAAATAATCAAAGCTTGATGATGAGTTGGTCATTTGAATCAGCTGTGTAGTGCTAGGGCAAAAAACAAAACATGCACCCAGGGGAGGCGTACCAGGACTGAGTTTGGGAAACCCTGGTCTATAGCGCTGACGTATGACAGAGGTCACTCAGTAGCTGGAGGTCTAATCAACTGGTCTGTCACTTGGCAAACTGTCTGTCCTGTGACTGGAGGTCTTGCGTAACTCTCAGACCCAGGTGTAAGATTGCATGTAAGGCCAACGTACAGCAAGGAGCTTATGAAGGTGTTTCTAATCTTCCTTTCCCAGTCGAAATAACCTTCCGGTGTGCCAAACATTGACTTCTTGGTTCAGCTTCTGTTCAGTTCAGCCTCAGATCGACACTGGACAACAAAGTTGCTCTCTAATTGGAAATGGTTATATATATTTTGTTACCCACCTGTTATTTTTTCCCTAATATGTTGCCATATGCACAGCAGTAGACACAGAATGATTTGTTGCCAGCCTCGACCCGATAAATGAGTAATTGGAATGAAGATAAGATTAATGCCAGTCACCCATTTGTTTTAACATTCATAGTTCTATCAAGAGGATCTTGTTATTGATGTTAGTTTAAATACCTCAGTCTTCAACATGGCTTGTTAAAGACCATTTGTTTAATTACTTAAGTAAGTTAGCAGTTGAAGAGAGATCAAGCAGCTGAAAGCATGTCTGCCCACAACCACGGTTTGTCAACTGTTATCTGTTTGGTAAATAGCCTACTGTTTTAAAAGCCAATTTGGTTTAGTAACTTCGAATTGACGATAAGGGCTTTTCAATCACACAGCCCTTAGAATACCTATATATAGACTGTACCAGCTTCACAGATCTGGGTTTGATTTTACAGACAAAGTCGGTTTGACAACTCTGGGTTTGACTAGTCAGGCTGCATATTCACACAGAGTTGTCTTTGAGGGTGGGCAAAGCTCATATTGCACTGAGGAGTTATGGAGATGCTGCCTTTACAGCATAGGGCTCATGTGTATGTACTGTTTTTGATGTCTGCAAAAGTTACATGTAAATCATTATTTTATTATATTTATGTATTTTACAATCATGGCTGGCTCAAATATACTTGTTCAAGAACATATTTGTCTTCCGTCTTATTTTAGCTTAACAAAAAGGACAATGGCATGTCTAGACACACCTAAGCAAACACAAAGTACAGTTAAACAAACTGACTACTGGTATGGTTAAGGTAGGGTAGGGACGTCCTAAGGATCCCGGATAGCACTAACCTATGTACAATACTGTATGTATTTAGTTTAGCTCACCACATGGTGGAGGCATTTTCCTAGTTACTGATATGTTTGACCTCAAAATCCCCAAGTCTCAACTAGGGCTGGGAATTGCCAGGGAGCTCAAGATACGATATTATCATGATACTTCGGTACCGATACGATATGTATTGCGATTCTCACGATTCTATATGTATTGCGATTCAATGTTCCAAACATATTGCTCACCATATATCTATTGCAGAGGGACATGGAAATAAAAGTGCTGAAAACAAATTGGCTCCCTATTTAAAAAGAGGATTTAGAACAAGCTATGAAGGATAAATACTGGAGTTTGGTGGAGGTACAGCCAACTAGCGCAAAAATTATATTGTGATATTGTCAAAACGATACGATACAGTTCATTCAGAAAGTATTCAGACCCCTTGACCTTTTCCACTTTGTTACAGCCTTATTCTAACATGGATTAAATGTTTTTTCCCCCCCTCATCAATCTACACACAATACCTCATAATGACAAAGCAAAAATGGGTTTTTAGAAATGTTGGCAGATTGATTTAAAATAAAAAACTGATCTTACAATTACATAACTATTTAGACCCTTTACTCAGTACTTTATTGAAGCACCTTTGGCAGCGATTACAGCCTTGAGTCTTGGGTATGACGCTACAAGCTTGGCACACCTGTATTTGGGGAGTTTCTCCCATTCTTCCCTGCAGATCCTCTCAAGCTCTGGCAGGTTGGATGGGGAGCGTCGCTGCACAGCTATTTTCAGGTCTCTCCAGAGATGTTCGATCGGGTTCAAGTCCGGTCTCTGGCTGGGCCACTCAAGCACATTCAGAGACTTGTCCTGAAGCCACTGCTGCGTTGTCTTGGCTGTGTGCCTAGGGTTGTTGTCCTGTTGGAAGGTGAACCTTCACCCCAGTCTGAGGTCCTGAGCGCTCTGGAGTAGGTTTTCATCAAGGATCTCTCTGTACTTTGCTCCGTTCATCTTTCCCTCGATCCTGACTAGTCTCCCAGTACCTGCCGCTGAAAAACATCCCCACAGCATGATGCTGCCACCACCACGCTTCACCATAGGGATGGTGCCAGGTTTCCTCCAGATGTGACATTTGGCATTCAGGCCAAAGAGTTCAATGTTGGTTTCATCAGACCAGAGAATATTGTTTCTCATGGGCTGAGAGTCCTTTAGGTGCCTTTTGGCAAAATCCAAGTGGGCTGTCATGTGCCTTTTACTGAGGAGGGGCTTCCGTCTGGCCACTCTACCATAAAGGCCTGATTGCTGCAGAGATGGTTGTCCTTCACAGAGGATCTCTGGAGCTCTGTCAGATGGACCATCGGGTTCTTGGTCATATCCCTGACCAAGGCCCTTCTCCCCTGATTGCTCAGTTTGGCCGGGCGGCCAGCTCCAGGAAGAGTCTTGATGGTTCCAAACTTCTTCCATTTAAGAATGATGGAGGCCACTGTGTTCATGGGGACCTTCAATGCTGCAGATTCTTTTTTCTACCCTTCCTCAGATTTGTGCCTCGACACAACCCTGTCTCGGAGCTCTGTGGGACCTTATATAGACAGGTGTGTGCCTTTCCAAATGATGTCCAATTAGTTGAATTTACCACAGGCGGACTCCAATCATGTTGTACAAAGATCTCAAGGATGTTCAATGGAAACAGGATGCACATGAGCTCCTTATGTAAATAAGGTATTTCTGTTTTTTATTTTTTATAAATTTGCAAAATATTCTAAAAACCTGTTTTTGCTTTGTCATTATGGGGTATTGTGTGTAGATAGATTTTTTTATTTAATCCATTTTAGAATAAGACTGTAACGTAACAAAGGGGAAGGGGTCTGAATACTTTCCAAATGCACTGTATATCATCAAATAATATCCAAATATGTAAGTGTATCGATTCCCCCCCCCCCCCCCCCCCCATCACTAGTCTCAACCTTGTTGTATGAAAAGAACATAATGAGAGTAGATTGGATTTGCTATCCATCTTCTGCCAAATGTGTGTGTGTTCAGTCTTTCCATACAGGGATGTCTTGGCTCTCTGTAAACAGTGAACAGTCGCTTTCTTGCCTGAATAAGGCAGTGTTATTGCTCCCCTTCTGCCCTGCATTTAACCCTTTCACTTCCTCTCAAATCATTTGTATATAGGGCGCTCTAAACAACTCTTCACTCGCCCCATGAGTTGATTAAGAGCTTTGTGTCAAAATGGTGTCATTACAAAGACATGGTACGCTCTTTAGTTATGCCTCATAAAGTTTTACATGACATAAGAGTCAATTGAGGAGAAGAGTTTTGAAGGAAGTGGTGAGGGAGGAGAGGACCGACATGATTCATTCTGTTCTTCCTCCTCCTCCCTGCCCTGAGTGTGGTGTTATAGGGCTGAGCACTCCCATGTACAGGTCTGAGGCAGAGGAGAAAGTGGAACAGGGGTACTGAACTGAACATCAGGGTAAAACTGAAGTCTCCATCACCTGCTGCAAACAGCTGCTGCGTTGTCCCCCAAGACACACAGACAGAACCCACAAAACAGGTAGGTGTGGGACACTATCACTCGGACTCTCCTGCTCTCTCAATTCCTATAACAGCTTTTAGCTTCCTCTATATGAATTGATGTTACCCTTCATGTACTGTATGTTTAGTTACTGTGTGTGTAGTTATATCAGTCTGTCTCTTTTATATCCATCTATTTTCCTCTTTGTGCAAATTTCATGGATGATTGGTGTTACAATGAACGAAGCTACATAACTATATTTGTACATGTTGTATACTGTTTGTGTGCTGCTCTAGGCTGGTTGCTGAGAGAATAAGAAGGCACACAAACAGTTCTCTAGAGCAGCATGGTTTATGTCAGTTTAGACCCAAGCACTGTTTATATTCAGATT